CTCCCAAGTGCATCCATAACTCAATAGTGCACGCTATGGTGTTTACCATTTGTTAAATAGCACTATAGCTACAACAGCCACAGACAACATCTGCCTTTGATTTCTGCTTAAAGTTCTTCTTATTTTCTTTCTTGTAAGACAGCAAGTATGGACACTTGGTATATATGCATCTATAAGTGCCATCACAAGATGCTGTGCGTCTGACACCATGGAATCCAACAATATATATATAAATATATAAAAAAAACATAAATCTGTGTAACTGAAGAGGATGAAGACCAACTCTTGACTGTTCTGGTTTTAATGCAGCAACATTTCGGCTATTCAGCCTTCTTCAGGTTAAGATAAGCTTTACAGTAAAAAGTTCAAAAATAAAAATTACGACCATAAGAAATTACAAGATGCGAACTTATATATACAAAACTAGTGTCAACATAGGTTATGTAATCAATTACATAATAAAAGAAAGGAAAAGTCTAAATAGTGCAGACAGCACAATACAGAACGCTTCTACTTGTGATAAAATGTGGTAAATGGCTAATTACTTGACAACAATTAGAGCAGGCACAAAATAAAAAGCGTGAACTACTGCTAAGGTAGATGAAGACAAACTAATTGCCAGAACAGGCTATGAATATGCCAATCAGATACAAAAGAAAAAGTGTAAACTACTGCTAAAAAACATTGATATATAGATTTATGCACAATAAATAAATAAATAAATAGATAAATAAATAAACAAATAGATAAATAGAACACCAGATAAAAATAAATCAGTATGTAGTTTGGTTAAATCTTTAATTTCCTTACTTTTAAGAGGTTTTGGGAATGTAAGTAAATACCTATTTACTCAAATAAGTACCACAGCACTTATTAAATTTTTTGCCCTGAAGTGCAACACTTATTCTAGGGCGGCGCTTATTTAACAATTTGATGCGACAAAGAAATCTTTTCTTTGAATTTACGGGTATTTTTTCTACCTATATGAAAATTTTATATAACAAGCATAAGTGTGTTTTGATTGTCATCATTAGTCTTTTCCCGACCCTTTTCATCAATTGCTTTGCTAGTGGTGTCTTCACTTAACTTTGATTTTCGTTGTTCATTTTAATACTGTTTTTGAGTTGCTTTGCAGTGTTTTTTAGTTATACAGAATCCCTAAAATAAGTGCCGCATCAGGACTGCAGCACTCATTCGAGGGCGGCACTTAATAACTTTTTAGTCCTAGCGCTTGTTCAAGGGCAGCGCTTGTTCGGGGGTGGCGCCTATTCCAGTAAATATGGTAATGAAATGAACAATAATTATTATCATGATAAAGGAAATATGTAACTTGAAAGTTTTATGACTTTCTTGTTGCATCACCTTCTTCTAGGGATACCCTTTCTCTGCCTGTGACCAACAAAATGGCAGTAATACTCAAATATTAAATTCACCTTTGCAATAAAGGTATACTTTGCAGCATTACTGTAATCTTACATCGCACCATTTTGGTCCCATTTACAATAAAATATACACAACATCTATTTAAAAATTAAAGGAGCCCAGCCCAAGAGCATGTGGCTGGATCAATAACCAATACTTTTGGGTGCTAATAAATCAATCCTATGGAACAACAAAAAAATTAAATATATCAGATGGCAATTATTTATATGCACTGGCATTATATAGCCACTGACACTTCCACCTGTCCCTGGATATATCATGTGCTTCTGAAAACAAAATTCTAACTAGGTAACAATTCTGGGATCACATATAGGTTTTGTTTGGTGTATAATTATCTAGAAATCAAAGATTATCTTTACCACAACTGCTACTAATCTCGCAATCTGATTGGCTAATTTGCCATTTGTTTGGCTAATTTGCCATTTTGACCACTGTGATGACGTGTATCATTGTTGATAAGAGTAAAGACCACACTAAACTACATTGGATTTGTTAATTTACGAAAGATTTTAATGGTTAAAACCCTGGCCGATTTGACACGCAAATGGAAAGACATGACTATACGCATTCATTGAAGTGTCAGCTATTGTTTCCAGTCTAAAATACAATTACGAATGCAATACTAGGATAGATTAAACAAGATTGCCCTTACCGATCTGCCATCCTTGATTTCCTCCATCTTGAATAGAACTCAGGATGATGACAAAGTATGTTGTGTAAAACCACTGAAGATTTGTTGGAAACCCCATCAAAAGAATCCTGCCAAAGAAATCCTACCTCGAAAATCCAACTGGAAAATCCAGCTTGAAATCCTAACTCGGTAAATAGGCAACATCTAGACGGGTGACTTCTGAACACAAAGTTCTACTGAATGAAATGTTTCCAACACGAACGGAAGAGGCGTTCAAGAATTGAGTGTGACACATACACTCTTCTTTTTGTATAAGAACCTCTTATTTTGGGACTGAGGCTGAACGTTCCTATATTTTTTTGCGATTTGAGGCTGAAAACCTTCTTAAGATGTTCTTAAATTTACCTGGTATAAAAATAATGAAGACAGGCCAGCACAGACTCCCTACATGATGGATGTGATTACATGTGTCTCTCATAATTTGGCTCTTATGAGCATGTCTTTGAGAGATCTACCTCTTTTGTAGGCTATAATAGGTGGATTTCTGAGGATGGTTTTCAGTAAAGGCTGATTTTGTATTAATGCCCATGATAAGTATTTGGGTTAATTTACATTTTTTGTTCCCTTTATTTTATGCTTGTCATTTAATATACAGATTAGCGAAAGAAAAACATTCTTAATCGACTCTCAGCCTGAAGAATGTTCTTAGTACGCAACATTCTTAAAATTTTAGTTAATCTCAGCCTCAACGTTCTTAGAAAAAAGTTCTTATAAAAAAAAAGAGTGTATGGGAGTAAACCTTAGCCTGCCAAAACTAATAAAGCCTCGTAACTTCTAAGGGCCTGTTTACAAGGAGGGAGGGTTACCCTAGCAAGCGGGTTGACCCTAGCTGGAGGGCAAAAGATAGCCCCGGTTTACAAGCACAATTTCACAGTTAGGGTAACCCTACAACCTGGGACAACTTAATGTGCAGTGACACTCAAAGGGTCTGGAAACAATTAGAAAATTAACCTGGGTAGGCAGGTTAACCCTACCTGAAGTGTTTACAAGGGAAAAAGTTGACCCACCTGCCAGGGAAACCCTAGCACGCAGATAGTGTAACCCGCCTACCCGGGTAACCCTAGGAGCCTTGTAAACAGGACAAAGAAAAAAGAGGAAATGTGTGAGTGCTAGGGTATTAACCCACTTCTTAGGGTAACCCTCTCTCCTAATGTAAACAGGCCCTAAATATCTGGCAGCACAGCATCAGTTGTATGTTGTAATGTTAGTTGATTTCTTGAGATGGTCGCAGAATAATACATACACGCGATGAGATCTCTTAAGGTCATTCCACTGAAATAGAACCTGCATTGCGATTTTTGTAAAACTTTGCCTATTGATTGCTTATATTATAGGAACTTAAATTTTAAAATAAAAATGAGGGGTCCCCATGTTCGTTTAGGAGCAACAGCACCTTGTTTATACCCATATAAATCCTTATAATAGCACCATGATTGTAGTCACGATTGCTTGCTAAATTCACGTTTCCGACGATTGCTTTTTGTTCTACACTGAGAATTGGTCCATATTTGTTTTACACAGAGAAATTTATTACTCAGTTCAAAGCAACAGAAAAAAATGATAGGTCACCATACTCGTTTGTGTAAAAATGACGATTTACCTCTATGGCAAGGTCCAGCTGTAAAGAAAAAGCCGTCATTCTGTAATGCGCGCACACTAATCACGCGTGAAATTATGCGCAGTAGGGATGCGCAATGCAATACTGGGGAATAACCATAACTTCAGTTTGAGAATTATATTTAATGTGGCAGGACACGAAACACCAATTGGAGCAGTTGGCTCTCAGTTAATCCTAGACTGCTCTTCACAAGAGCATCAAAACAGCAACGAAATATAGATTAATATTATTATCCAACTGAAGCGAATATCGTCCAAATAACAGTACAAATACACAGCGATATTGCACAGTTATTTGTACAGTAGCAAACCTGTTTGTCGGAGAGTTCGGCGCACTCACGCAAAACTTATTGACTACAGCAGTTGGATAATAAGTGTTTTATATGGTGTGTAGTATCGCTGTTTATTATATGGAGAAGAGTGTTTTACTGGGAACTAAACCACTCGTAGATTCCATACGCCACTTCATCCGGGACCCGAGTGGCGTATTTTC